TGTTTGTGGCCCAATGATGAAAACTCTAAAACATGTGTGTCGAGGGAGTGGGGCTCCAATCTCATATTCAAAATTTGTGAACTAAACTATTCATTGATTCAAAAGTTAACAAGTTTGATTGGTTTTTTTAAGTTTTAACCAGATTTGACTTAATTTGATAAGATCTCACTACACATTAAGTTTATGTCATGACTCAAACCATTGTTATAACTAGTTTTGGTTTAACTAATCTAACTAACTAGTTCGATTCAATTTTAAAATAGTAATTTTGTGTAATTTTATGGCAAAACCTTACATTAAATCCCTAAATTATCCACAATTCTCAATTAAGCCTCTAAAATTTTATTAAAGTAAAAAAGCCCTTGAACTTAGAAATCTAAGCAATTTAATTTTTTTTCTTACAACAAACTTAATATCCATTTGTGTCTTACTTATGTGAATAAGATATTGATATGTTATTATCTATGTAGCAAATATTAATTTTTTACACATAAGTAAAGTGCAAACGAGTATTAAGTTTGTTATAAAAAATATGTATAAATTGTCTAAACCACCATAATCAGGGGTTTACTTCAATAAAAATTTAAAAACTTAATCAAGAATCTGAAGTGAGTTTGAGGGCTTAACATAGGGTTTTGACTACTTTAATCTCTCACTAATTGGAACATTCTTCTGAACATTGTTTCATGTGGTAACATAGCATTTATGTAATTGATCATAATTTTAAATTTTAAATATGAATACTTTAATTTTTAACATCAATTATATGAAATCTATGTCCATCGGCCTAATTACAGAAAGGGTTTCTGAAAGAGAATGTCAGCATGCTTTCTTTGATAAATTTGCATCCACAGAATGATCTGAATCTGCCTTTTGTGGTGTGTTTCCTGCATCAATCACATAAAGCCTTAGTTTTTTGAGATTGAAGTCAAAGAAGCATGTGTTAAGTAACGAATCATAAGCATGAAGTGCGTTTCAAAAAAAAAATCATAAGCATGAAGTGGAACTTAATGGGACGCCCATGAAGTCATTGTCCCCTCATGTTCCCTAATTCACCTACATGATAAAACTTGTGACATCCTTTTTGGTCAAAAAAATCATACAAAAGATCTGCAAAATTTTTCGTGTACCATGCAATTTTTTAAGCAATTTTCAGGAAATAATTTAAAAGCTTGTTGGATTGAAGTCAAAAATAAAAATCAAAAGTTACTCCTTTAAACCTTTTTAATTTCTTTTCTGCATTGAGAGAAGTATTCCTGGAAAAACAGAGAGAGCATTTTTATTGAGGGCGGAATGCAGGGTTATTTTGAGCTGTAATAAGAGGTGACCAATGTAAATAAAAGATACAC